GAGAGAGAGAGAAAGAGAGAGAGAGAGAGATTGACAAACATAATTAAATAACAACAGACACTGTTGTATCTAGAATTGGTGAAACTCTTAATTTCCCAAAGGTGACTTTTGAGTTATGCTTATTTCCTGTTCCATCTCTCCTATTCCTCTAGTGATAGCATTTACTTATAAAGGCTAAGGGTAAATTTCATTTTTGTATATAATATATGAGTGCATTTATCTGACTTTCATTTTGTCTAATTGAATCATGGACCAATAATATTATTCATTCAACTTTATCTTTAGTTTCAATCATTTATGAATTGCATAGATGTTTTTCATTTAATCTCTTATATAATTAGTTTAATAACAGTTAAAATCACTGTGTATATATTTAAGCAAGACAATTTGCTGAATAATACTCTCAAAATTCTAAGAATGATAGTAAATAATCACTCTGTGTGTGAAGCAAAATAAAAGTTTAAATTGTATATTTTCTTAAATTGCTCATTTGTTTTGCAAGCATCAAAAACTATCCTATATTATTTGTATTTTGAATAATGGTGAAACAAACATAGATAAGAAAGTTTTTATTTGCTATTCTGACTTATGTGCCTTCAGAAAGTCCCCTTAGAAATGTAGATTGACCAAAACATATTTGTCTTTTTATTTAAAAAGTATTTGTATTCTGTTTACTACACTGGCTGCCTCAGTTTCTACTCACAGTAGATATGTTCAGTGGAGTCTGCAAAATTCCCACATGCTCATTAATTTTCACTCTTTTTTTGATGGAATCCATTCTCAGTGTGATAAAGGACTCTCCTTGAAACCATGATTTTCATATCTAAGGCAACTGAATATAATTTCATACTCACAAATTTTGTATAATTTCAGAACAGGAAGATTATTGTAGCAGTGGTTGTAAAGATATTCATTAATGGGGCTGGAGTCATGGCCTCAGTGGACTGCTCTTTCAGAGAATGTGGCTTCTGTTTCCAGAAACCACATGTATGTCCATAAGCATTGATAAATTGAGTTCTACAGGATCCAACTAGCTATTTTCACCTCTGTCAACTCATATATGTGAGATAAAGAAATGTATGAAAACAAGGATTGCTCATTACTCATTTTAAAACAAAGGAAAATCTTTTACATATATTTTATGATAGAGACTTTTTAAGAAAAAGAAATATAATAAGATAAAACAAATCCTACTACCTCAAAGATGGATTAGGCAAAACAGCATAAGGAAAAGAACCACAAGGGAAGCACGGGAAACAGGTCCACTCACTCACAGACACAGAAAGACCATAAAAACACTAACCTGAAAGCTATAAGGTATATTCCAAAGATCTGACTTAGACCAATATACTCCCTGTGATTGATACTTCAGCCTCTGTGTGTTCATATGAGTTCATATGACATTCTGACAGGAGTAAGTTGGTATCTCAGAGCTGTATGGATTTGCATTTCCCTGATGGATAAGGATGTTGAGCACTTTCTTAAGAATCTTTCAGCCATGTTATATTCCTATATTGAGATTCTCTATTTAGTTCTGTACCCCATTTTTTAATTGGATTATGTGGTGATTTGGAAACTAGCTTGTGAGTTCTTTTGATAATTTGGAAATGATCCCTCGATCAGATGTGGGGTTGCTGAATATTTTTCTGATTCTGAGGTGTGCTTGTTGACTGTGTCCTTTGCCTGACAAAAGCTCCTCAGTTTCAAGATGTCTCAATGTCTGTGCTACTGTTGTTATGTTTACGAAGCAGTCTCCTGTACCCATTTGGTCAAGGTTACTTCCCACTTTATGTTCTTATTCTTTACTTTTATTTGATCTAATAATCTTCCAAGAGTCATTTATTATTTTCAGTGTATATTTTAATGTACTATAATCAAAATGTAAAATTGCATACTGAGAATCCTACAATATGATAATATGTATACTAAATATACAAATATTAATAACCAACTTATAAATAACGTAAAGCATTTTACCAAAATTTGTATGCATATGGTGTTGCTAATAATCTATTTCTTTATTCTCTCTGTCATTAAAATCAATTCATATAATAAAATTAAATTGCAACACTGTATTGCTATTTTATTAATATTTGAAAGATATTTTTAATTTAAATTAGAAACAAGCTTCTTTTAAAAGTCAATCTCAGGTCCCTCTCTTGACCATCCTGCCCTGCTGCCCACCAATCTGCCTATCCTGATCCCTTTCTGCTTCCAAGGAAGGGTGAGGCCTTCCTTGGGAAATCTTCAAAGTCTGTCATATAATTTGGAGCAGGGCCCAGTGTGTCTAGCCTGAGAGAGTATCCCTCTATGAGGAGAGGGCTCCCAAACTATATTTGTGTACTAGGGGTAAATACTGATCTGCTACCAGTCCAGACCACCAAACTGATTTCCTCCTTCAGGTGGTCTGGAACAGTCCTATGCTGTTTTCCCAGTTATCAGTCTCAGGTCCATGAGCAACCGATTTTTCAAGTCAGCTATTTCTGTGGGTTTCTCCAACCTGGTCTTGACCCTTTTGCTAATCACTCCTTCCTATCTGCAACTGGATTCCAGAGTTCAGCTCAGTGTTTACCTGTGAGTGTCTGTGTTTGCTTCATCTGCTACTGGATGAAGGCACTAGGATGGCATATAATTTAGTCATCAATGTCATTATCTGAGAAGGGCTTTTAAGGAAGCCTCTTGAATGTTGCTTAGATTTTTAGGTGAGGTCAACCTTGCAGATCCCCAGATATTTCCCTAGTGCCAGAATTCTCTTTAAAACTATAATGGATCCCTCTATTATGCTATCCCTTTTCTTGATCTTTTCCATTCCTCCCCTGACTAAATCTTCCTGCTCCCTCCTGTCTTCCTCTCCCTTCCCATTCTCCCCTTCTCTTTTAATGCCTTCTCCCCTCTTCC